CTCGAGTAATAAAATCCTCTGCAGCTCCGTGGATGTAGGCAATTTGTCGAACCACGTAAATCTATGTGTTTCGTTGTTTTCAATTTTTCGATTTTTCTCGATCTGATTTTTCGCTTTATTGTCGTCGCTTTTTCACAACATATAATACATACAACATGTTAGGTATGACTCATATGCCATATAAGGGACAGATGTTGAGCAAAGTAGAGTGGAGCGGGAGCATCTGTCCAATTAGAAGAGCATCATTAAGTGGGTTGGGGGTGCGAGGGCAAGGGCAACGCCCTTGTAGTACGATATAAGATATATATATAGTGTTTGTAACTCTAATAGGGTAGAACTTTGCTTCAAGAAATCGAAAGACGTCACAATTCGCTTCTGAGGACGTAGGTACATTGTCAAACATTGCTAAATCCCTGTGTTTTTTTCTTTCTTGTTTCCTTTGTTCATATTCTTGTGATTATTAGTGTGATTTCTCAACACTCCGTCATGGTTCGATGGCGATGACTTCAGACCCTAAGTAGATTGTGACTGTTTGGTTTCAAATGTAATACCCTTTGTGCCCAAGTTGTATACCCTCTCATTCTTTTTCCCAGCAGCTTGCCATTAGATCTCGTAGTCAGACTGCTCAAGAGCAGACTGGCTACCACCCTATCAAACGGCTCCCTTACTCCCACTACTACATGCGATTGTTGGTCTCTGCGTTTTTGGTTATGGCTTTGCGTGTCTCGAATATGCTCATAGTCATTCTACACACAGAATAATTAACATTTTACATTAAAAATGAAAGTAAGTTGTAGAAAAAAAATTTTTTTTTACTTACATAGATAATTTAGAAAGGCCTACTTAGATAATTTAGAAAGTTAGTAGACCCACTATTGCATCCCTAGGCGCGGATGCTTCCAGACATATAACTCCATAGTGGTGGGCAGCCAGCCAAGCTCCTGAACTTGTGGAAATGAAAAAATAGTAAGTTTTAGATAATTATATAATTATTAAATTATCGAGTATTGAGTGAATCTTACCAACTTCTTACAGTGCTCTGTGTGTGAGGCGATCCTCCAATATCAAGTGTTGTGCCCCTGCCTCCCTTGGTTGTTCGATTCAGTTGACTTATATCCCTCTTCCTAACATTCAGAAGTGGCTCATAATCTGGTCAACTCTGTGCATATATACCCCTCTATCAAGATCGATCGCTCTCTCTTTTTATAGGTCGTGTTGTGAACATATCACAGGGCCAATGTCCAATGCAATACTAAAAGTTATGTCAGATCAGTATAGTGATATTTTTTATATAATGTAAGGGTTTGAGTAACATACGTGTAAATATGAAAGTTTAGATGTTAGATATGTAAACACAAAAATTACACAAGCATTGTGCGGCATGCATGCACGTAAATGCCCCATAATTTTTTCTGCCCTAAATTGAGGCATTCAAATGAATGTGGTAACAACTTAAGAGATATAAAAAATCATAAATCTTCATAAATACAAAATCCAAAAACCCTAAATCCTACTTGTAGCCAAGCACCCCTAGAGCAAGAATGGAAGAAACCGATGGAGGAAAAAATTAGGAATTTGAGAAAATGTGAAGTGGAGAGGGATAAAAGAGATTTACCTCGGATAAATGGTAGGAGATGATGAATTGCCAGAGTCACGAGCTCGTCGGTGGTGGACTGGTTGTGGGGGAACTAAAGCGTGGAGGGAAAGAATAGCGTAGAGCGCGAATGAGCCCAACAGGCGTAGGTTTAGATTTTACCGTTCTGGCGTCGAATACTTCCGAGTTTATTGACTGACAATGATAATGACAACTAATATCGTCACAATATCTGACACAAAGTTTATGCGCTGTCATCTAATGACGCCGGATATCAGGCGTAAACTCGACGCAAATAGTTACGTCAAAACTAGTATGACGCAATTGCATACGCTATTTTGTTGTTTTTATGTAGTTGGTATATTATTTTAATTTTATATTATATATATTAAATAATTCAGTATAAATCTTAAGGTGTGGAAAGTAGAGAGAGAGAGGGATAGAGAGAGGGAGTAGAGAAAGAGAGAGAGTGGGGTTGATAAAGTTGAATCAATTGTATTTTAATATGGAGTTGATTAGAATTTGATTGATGATCAAGCAAAGGAGCTCCAGATTAAAATAGAATTGA